GGACGAATCGATCAGAAAAAAAAGATCAGCTTCTGTATATTTTATTTGTTTAATTGAAGTTTTGTTCGTGGAACTTAGTAGGTCCTGGTCCTGAAACCAGCAATCACAAAGATTCTTCCTGCTACCTTTGATTAAAAAATCTGAATGCTTATAGCATTTTATGTTAAATGATAACTGCTATAGTTGAATTGATTTAATTCTACATAGTGCAGATATAAAAAGTCGCCCTTCTTAGCCTTTGAACAGACAAGTGATCAAGATTGAAAAAAGTTTAGGTTAAAGGACATCATTTTTAGTATGGCATCACAATTTAACAGAAAGGGGTTTTTTGATACCTCATTTGATGAATGTTCCTGTTTATTCGACATGATCATCAGTCACTTGTTTGGTTTCCATTCCGAAATATGAAGAAGTCATTTTCAACAGGGTTAATTATTTGGCAATTAATAACTATTTTGCATCCACGGATTGGAATGTGTCTAATTCATCTACTGCCTTGGCTCAGTTTCATGGTGCGATTTATTCTGCAATGCTTTTTTATTCCTGCCAAAGTAAGGAAATATTTCAAATCAAAAGGGTTTCATTTTTAGTAGATGAAGATTATTAATATAAATGCCACAATAAAATATGTGAAAGTGAAGTTTTTGATGCACAGAAATTCTATCAGTCTGTGTTAGAGTTTCTGAACAAAAAACTAGACTCGGAACACATAATTATTGAGAACAGTCTGAGTTAATTTGTATGTGTATTATATTTGTTTTAAACTGTTCTATTTCATTCACAAGCGAAAGAATAATAAAGTTAGTGCTATAACTCATGTATTGATTAGTTTCCCATGATGTATGATGCTCTTTTGTACCTTGTATTTAAACATTCAGTGGAAAATAAAATTACCAAATCTACCAAGAGATCAAAAGTTTGACAATTTCTTTACGGAATATTAAAACTTTAACCTTTGAATAAATGATGATCTTGTTCCAAATCCATTATGTTAAGAGGTACAAAAATAGGTCCTCTCAAAATTCTGAAGTCA